AATTTATTGCTGATAATATTTTTTTTACAAGTATTCCTGGTATTAAAATCCATCTTTCTCTTAAAAACTCTTTTTTCGGGAGTATATCTTTAATTCTCATGTCCAATAACTGTTATTATTCTTTCTAATATTGACGGGCACCTACTTCCTAAATTCTTCTTTAAACTGTATATGAAATATCAACTTCTTGCTTATTCTTTTTTTTTTTTTTTGCATTATTCTACCTCAAGCAAAACAATAAAGCCACTAAGACGCAAAGATTTACTGAATGCGGAAACATATGGAACAAAGAAACATCATTAAGGAAAGAGAAGAATAAAACAATAGGAATTAAAAGACAGGATATAACGATTAATATTACATTATAATTGTTTTTTTAAGACCAAAGGAAGAATCAGCAAGAATGTTCCAGAAGCGAGAAATTCGAGTGATTTCTACAAATAAATTGAACATTTCCCATTACAGACATAAAAACACGTAAATAAAAACGAAGATGATATGTAAAAGCAAAGACAGATTTTACAGCAAATATATTATCGTATTTATATAAATATTTTGAAAGTAATTTACTGCTTGCTCACGTCTATCAAATTATGGCATAATCGATATTTAACTACACAGCGATCTTGTATAAAAATTAATTTTGGCTTATGATTATAGAAAAATACAATAATGCTATTTCAGTAATCGTTTATATATAATAAAATTTCACTCTAAATTTAAAAAATTTGTATTAAAAATTCCCGCTTGAAAAAAAATAACATAAATGAGTTGGACATTTTTATTTACTTATTTATTGATTTATATTTTTAATAAATTTTGGTAAGAATGTTAAACATTTATATTTGGACTGTCTGATCAGAAAAAATGTAAAATTCTTTCTTTCTTTCATTCATTCATTCTTTCATTCATTCTTTCTTTCTTTCTAATATATAGGAGAGGGTATTGCGACATCCTCGATCCGGTCAAAACATGTTTCAAAACAGTCTGAAGTTTGTCAATTGGTAATTATATACTAATTAGCATGATCTGATGAAATTCTTAAACATGACAATGTTTAGAGAGGAGTTCTGGTCGTGACAAGACGTTTGCCTCGTGCCTTCTTATATTACTGTTAATACACGATTCAAATATATCGAGTGCAACAGAAAAAAATTCCAATCTTAAAAATGATTAAAGATATCTTACTGGAATCCTCCGAGGTTTTTTTTTTAACTATTGGGCTCTGCTTTTTACAATAAAAATGTATTTATCTCTAAGTTGAAATGATGATCCCTCTTGCTGCTGTGATGTCCTCATCCAGGATTCCATTCTATCGTTCCCTATTTTTTTTTCAACTTATTCACCGTTTTCTTCATGGTTCTTGAATAGTCATTGAAGATGGGAGCCAAAGAATGAATGTTAGTGCCATCACTGCAGGCCTGAATGGTCTTTTTCCTCTCACCATTGCTCAGTAGGAAGACATAGTGGGCTGACACAAAACGATTTTAACCTGTTCTTTTTCCAGCTGAATAACTCAAAGGGTTTTCTGTGATTCTTTCGACAAATGGTGTAAAGGTCCTATCTGAAAACATGGAAAACAGTAAATCAGTTAATTTAGTGTATTTTTTTTGTCTTTACATATTAACCATTTTGTGTGATGCACAATTATCCCATGCTGTTACATGATTTGGACAATTTTGCTGTTACACCACCTATATGTAAAGTTTATACTTAGTGGTACATGTCTGTGAGTGAATATCCCTTTTTACCACACTGAAATCTTCTGGTTCGAATGTGTTATTGCCGGAAATCAACCTCCTGATAAGAAAGTGAATACTGGACAATTTCCTCACTGATATAGCAATAAACAACTGAAATATGGTACCACAGAAGGATGCTGAGAATAAATAGATCGAAACTGTTAAAACTATTGCGCTCTGCTTTTTACAATAAAAATGTATTTATCTCAAAGTTGAAATGATGATCCCTCTTGCTGCCGTGATCTCCACATCCAGGTTTCCATTCTATCGTTCCCTATTATTTTTTCAACTTATTCACCGTTTCTTCACGGTTCTAGGAGGTTGTAGAGGAAATGGAAGCATAAAAGTCATTTATATATAATTACCGAAAGAAAAAGTTTGAATTTCTATGACACTTGAGGAATGTGGGTTTGGAAGATTGGACACTTACAGGACAGATCGAAGGTACACTGTTTACATTATTTGGACTATTGTCTTCATCTTTGTCTCCATATTTATTACAACGTTTCGGCCGTTGTACACGTACAACGGCCAAAGCTTTGTAATAAATATGGCGACAAAGATGAGGACAATAGTCCGAGTAATGTAAATAGTGTACATAATACCTTATCTCAGAAATATAGACAGATACAGAACGAAAGTAATAGTGACAGAGACAGACATCGAATAACCAACCCAACGGGCTTGAGTAAATATGTAGCTTCATTAAAATCTACCAAAGGAGAGGAAACTTCAGGGAGCCATGATCTCCAACATCCTGAAGGGACACGGCACATAAAATAAGAATCAGAAAACAACGTTCAGGGCCAAGCGTCATTTAACATTAAGTTACGACATTATAAGACATTATACTTAATCTAGGCTCAATTATATCTTTTTTTAGAAATGCTCATCACTCGTTGGAACATTCCGAAGTCTATGATTGCTATCTCTTTTTAAAGAATTTTAACAATTGAATCTTTAAGAAATGTATAGATTTCTCTCTAATCCGAAAGTGTCCTTATTACGACAAACGTTAGAATAAATGCGTACACGCGTTTGAGTAGATAGTGGTTAGAAATTTAAATGACACAGGTTCGCATGGCACTGTGATCGATTTGTCTTGTAGGAAACTTTTTTATAACATTGTCGTTGGTAGACGATTCGGAAATCTCTACAAACGAGTTGAGCAAAGTCAGGCGACAGAAATTGAATAAATAAGCCATCGATGTTTCTGCTAAGATAAAGCCACAAGTTCTTTGTTTTGAATGTGTTGGCCTTGTACAGTACTGTTGATCAGGCCACATTGTGCGATTCCTCTAAAAAACTTTAACTAAGGACCGGCTTAGCCTACTTAGATAAATCGCAGTTACCTTGCATAGGTTTAACCAGAAAAGACCAATTTAGTCGCCGTTGACCAGACCTTCAGTTCGTATTATATTGGATGCTACCAGCAGCAATCGTAAATTGATCAGGAGTACATAACGCAGCAGACAGAACAATTTTAAATGAATTCACAAACTTTAAAAATTCCTCGACCATGCAGGTTCCCAGATTTTGATTTGTAGAAGTTCAACCAAACAGATTTGAAAAAATTATTGCTACCGAAATTCAGATTATATATATATATATAATTTTTTTTCAAATAATATATATTGATGTTTTAACGGTATTATAGCCCTTAAAATGTACGAATTATTTTTAAGTCGTGTTAAAAACCTACAAAATGCTTCCCATTATACTTATGTGTTTGCGCCTGTTTGCGTGTGTACGCGCGTGTGTGAGTAAAATATCAGATGAAAACCCAAAATACCACTGGAAATGGACACTATGAATCAATCACCCCCGCCTCCAAAAAAAAAAAAAAATTAACTTAACCGATTCGATTCGTCCTCTGGTACACTTAAATAACGTCCTTATGACAAAATGGGGCAGCTGAAATAAGTTTTCCTTTTGGCTTTATTCATACATTTTTTTTAAGCATTTCACCCCAAGCAAGGCGGAAAGCCACTAGGACGCAAGGGTTACAGAAAATTTAGAGCAAGATCAGATAGGGAGTGATAGAAGAAAGGATAAAAGGGTAGTGGATAGATCAAGGCAACTGGAGATGTCGATTGACATTACACTTGAATAGCTGGAGATTATAGCTCACAGGGAAACAGGAATAGGAAGGAGTTCCACAGGCAAGAGGTGCGAGATATATATATATATATATATATATATATATATATATATATATATATATATATTTCCATCTTCAAGCGAATTTTTTTTTTTTGGAATAACTTATTTCTGAAATTTACGTGTTTTATACGCAATAAGTTATTCCCAAAATTCGCTTGAAGATGGAACAGAGCTTAGTACTTTAATTCAATTTAATTCAAATAATTATATTGAAGTTTTCGGCTCTTGTTTTGAAACATGAGAACTCTTATGTAGAGTGTTGGAATCATATTTTAAATAAATAATTATATATATATATATATATATATATATATATATATATATATATATATACTTTCAGTATGTTCATACTTTTCCACTATATAATTAATTTCATCAATTTGTCTAGGTATCTAGCGAAATAAAAGAAAAAAATTATCTCATATATTCGGAGTGCTCACTACCTTAATAAGCTATTAGCAAATAATTATTTGTGCGTTGTTAGGTTTCTTTATTTCGGTAGCTAGTGTATCTAGGTGTGTTTTTTTTTTTTTTTTCAGTTTAACGTCTTCTTGAGTTCTGTTGGAAGCAGGTCGTTTTTTCTACCAAAGAATAACATATGTCCACGACTCAGTATGGTTTCATCTGTAAATTGCTGAACAAGAAAAAAAAAACGCCCCTGGTATTGGATTATGGTAGCAAAAATCGCATAAGAATTATATATTTATATTAAAATTTTCCTTGTAAAGAAGAAAAGTTGCCTGAACAGTAGAAATATTAAATAAAATTATAATATGAATATCTCTACTTAATTTTCAATAAAATCTGTGCTAACTCATTTATATATACATATACACACACACACATACACATACACACATATATATATATGTACATATATATATATGTATGAGTGTGTATATGTTTGTGTATATGTATGTAATAATAATACTAAAAATAATAATAATAATAATAAAGTAATAATAAAAAATAAAAATAATACTAAAAATAATTTAAACTTATTATTTTGTTGCTACACGTATCTGTTAAACACATGTCTTATACAGTGTATAAATAGTTCAAATACATGCATATCCGCCTGTGCTATAAACAGTTTTAAACAATGATATATATATATATATATATATAGATAGATAGATAGATAGATAGAGAGAGAGAGAGAGAGAGAGAGAGAGAGAGAGATAGATAGCTATTGTTTTGTATATTTAATGCGACATATTTATATAAATATTTAAAATTATTTTCAGTGGATAACTGTATTTGAACAGGATTCTGTCAGAGGGTAGCGTTTCTTTATTAAGTTTTTTTTTAATGTGCGAACGATAGACGAAAAAGAAAAATGTTTTACAAAAAAACTCTACAAGTACGTGTACCTGCAAAAGGTATGTTCAGACACACACACACACACACACATATATATATATATATATATATATATATATATATATATATATATATATAAATATAATATAAAATATAGTTTGCCACTCGGCGTTGAACTGAGTGTTCACTTAATTATATATATATATATATATATATATATATATATATATATATATATATATATATATATATATATATGGATTAATCAGACAGATGTTTCTCTAAGATTCCTCGGTCATCCAGGTCGTAGACGAAAAGAAATCAATATGCCTTTTAATAAATAAGCAGAGTGTCTACTCAAATACGAGTATCTATTAAAATAACGTTTAAAAGTGATTATATATATATATATATATATATATATATATATATATATATATATATATATATAATAATAATAATAGCAATAATTTAACCATATTATTTAGTCGATAAAGCTACCTGCTGAAATCCGTGTCTCATAAAAGTGTACATAATAATGTAAATTTCTTGCCTATTAGCCGGTGCTTTATACAGTTTTAAACACTATTACTCACACACGCACGCATATATATATATATATATATATATATATATATATATATATATATATATATATATATATATATATATATGCCTCTGTATTTGTATGTATGCGCGTGTCTGTGTGTGCTTGCTTACAATCCATAGCTTCAGGTTAGACAAATTTGTCGGTATTACAATCGAAATGTACGTTGCCTGCTGATTATAGTACTTTTGTATCTTATATATTGTTAATTCTGTTACGCCTTCCTATCCTTAGAGTAAGGGATTTCATTTTAAGTTTGAAATCACTAAAAGCTAAATGAAATCAAAGATTTTATTATTGTGTTACTAATGATAAGTTTTTATCAGAAATTACAATACACGGATATAGAATTTATGCCGGAGACAACGAGATATTGTACAATGGAAAATTGCCTATGGTTTTAAATGGACGAAACTTTGTGTAATGCATAATTGTCTAAAGCTAAACTTACATCGTTATAGATTTCTAGTAATTGAAGTATTTAATTAGGGTAAAGAACAAGGGAAAAGAAGTGGACACGCTTGTAGAGAAAAATAAGTTGAAAAAGATGTATTTAGAGACAGAATGAAAGGAAAAAAGTATACTAGAGGTAAATTAAGGAAAAATCAGGTCGCCAATAGAATAAATAGGTTAAAATGCAGAAAGTAATTAGAGAAAGGGAATAAAGAAAGAGGAAGACAAAACAGAAGTGCTTTTAATAAGATGCTGACCTATCGAGAAAGAGAGGTAAAGTGCAGAATGGAATTAGCGAAAAGAAAGAATTAACTGTGCAAACATGGTGGCCATTCGAGAAACGATTTTAAAGATAAAGACGTCAATATTGAAAGTGAGGCAAAAAGACTGACGGGACACATAGAAATGACTGTCTATATCTCTGAGATTAGGCATTATGATTATTTACATTATTCGGTTATTCTCATCTTCATTGTCATATTCACAAGTTTCGGCCGTTTTACGCTCCGGCCTTTTTCAGATGATTGGAATTTTGAACCTAACCCTTTATTTTGTCCACCGGTGCGGCGTTCCATGCCTCTTGTGGATATCTCAGTTATTTCCCTTTGTTGTAGATTCCGGGTTGAAATCCGGTACCAATAAATTACAAACGCCAGGAAAGAATATATGAAAATAATGTATTAACGTAATATTACAAACTGGTAAAGCAGGTTAGTAGTTCCAGGAATATGGGTTAGTAGCAAAATATCTATACAGTCTTTGGTATTAAAGTATCGCTATATGACTTCTTACTGAGTCTACGTGCTTGCTCACTGTGACTCCTACAACGCTGTTACCTCATCCTCACTCTTCCGGTTACCTACAACCTTTTACTCTGTCACTTTGGACTCGACTCCTCGGTCTTGATCCCGGGTCTTCCCGTAGCAGTAGTATATGTATATACTGGGTGAGTCCATTTTTATAAAAAGGGGTGGACCCCTCAACAACCTTTAACTCAACTCTCCAAATATTTGGTTCACTACTGCTGTTGCCTGGGACTGAACACACAAATCTTTAGGGTCTAGTCACTGGATCTAACGTCTTTATCCACTGGACCAGCACATGGCAATAAAGATGAGGATAACAGTCCGAATGATGTAAATAATATAAACAGAGAAATGATATTAAAATCATGAAATGAGCTGACAAAACGAACAAGTAGGAAGCCTAGGCCGGTGTCGACGTTAAAGGAAAGTTAAGTACGGCAAAAGAGACGAAAAATCCTTAAAAGGGATGACAATCGACGAAGGAAGAAATGAAGGAAGGATCAACGACGGCAATAGAGAAAGACAGGTTGAAGGACGGCAATAATAAAAAGAATGGGAAGAATAAGTCTATAAAGAGGTCAAGTTTAACAAAAGGACAACAAAAGTGGAGATTACTAGAGAAAGCAAAATAAGAAAGGACCGAGATTAAAGACTGGGAAGTGAGGTAAAGAACACCAATAGATAAATGCCGTTACGAATTCGGACGTGAATCGTGAGACGGAGAGAAACATATGTGTGCGGACAATAGCAGAACTAATGTCCGCTTACATGATTTGTATGGAAACTTCACGGATTTTCTTCGTTCCACTCTATGTATAGACAATTCCGTGTCTCGTCGACTGGCTTTTGTAAACAGAATTAGGATAGCTTACAAATGTGTATAAAATTAAAATGAAATTAATAGAACAGGAAACATGAAATTGTAATTCACAAGCGATAATCCATAAATAATATTTGAAATATAATGTATCACAAAACTTGTGATTACACACAAATACACATAGATAGATAGATAGATAGATAGATAGATAGATAGATAGATAGATAGATAGATATGAAGCAGAATGATAGATAGATAGATAGATAGATAGATAGATATGAAGCAGAATGAGATAGATAGATAGATAGATAGATAGATAGATAGATAGATAGATAATGAAGCAGAATGATAGATAGATATGAAACAGACTGAGACAGATAGATAGATAAGAAACAGACTTAGATAGATATGAAACAGATAGATCGATAGATAGATATGAAACAGATAGATCGATAGATAGATAGATAGATAGACAGATAGATATGAAACAGACTGAGACAGATAGATAGATATGAAGGAGACTGAGATAGATAGATATGAAGCAGATAGATAGATAGATAGATAGATAATGAAGCAGAATGATAGATAGATATGAAACAGACTGAGATAGATAGATAGATAGATAGATAGATAGATAGATAGATAGATAGATAATGAAGCAGAATGATAGATAGATATGAAACAGACTGAGATAGATAGATAGATAGATAGATAGATAGATAGATAGATAGATAGATAGATAGATAGATGATGAAGCGGAATGATAGATAGATATGAAACACTGAGATAGATAGATAGATAGATAGATAGATAGATGATAGATAGATAATGAAGCAGAATGATATAGATATGAAACAGACTGAGATAGATAGATAGATAGATAGATAGATGATATAGATAGATAGATGAATGATAGATAGATGATGAAGCGGAATGATAGATAGATGAAAAACACTGAGATAGATAGATAGATAGATAGATAGATAGATAGATAGATAGATAATGAAGCAGAATGATAGATAGATATGAAACAGACTGAGACAGATAGATAGATAAGAAACAGACTGAGATAGATAGATAGATAGATAGATAGATAGATATCAAACAGGCTAAGATAGATAGATTTCATGTATCGATTATAAAGATCTAAATTTGACACTAGCCCAGTATGAGATTTTTGATCTCAGACCAGAGCTAAAACTTTAATAGAAATTTACTAGACCGTTAATGTCTACCGTGTTATGATATCAACCCCTAACAATCATGTTACGGTTTCCGCTAATTTTTCATGTTTCTTTGTTTTTAATCATGTCACCTCCAAGAAAAAGGCGATGAAGCCGCCATTAAGATACAAGCGATTAGTAAAAGATTGTTAGACGCATTTTTAAAGAGATAAGAAGACAGAAGAGATTTTCCCAGGTGATCAATACCAGGAAAGAAACCGTCTGCCTAGAATTTATGCTTGCGTCTAGCAATTTCATCTATGACGCGTCAATAACTGGCTACTAATCAAGTACTGTACTTAAATTCGTCGAGGTACCAAAAATACAGAGAAACCATATTACGGCTGCGCCAGAATGAGGAGAGATACCAGTAGAGAAAAAATAAGATAGTAGATTATTCATTGGTTTTGTCTTTTTTTTTCCAAGAATCTCTAGATATATTAAATAATAGTTTAGCAGGTTATTATATTTAGGGGGAATGTTATTTCTGCTCGGATTTATTATTAACGAATTGACCCCGTCTTTCAGGTTCCCCAACACGAAGGAGAAGATACAACATAGGGACAATTTGGCGATGATGACCAAGATCTCCACAGAACGAGGGAGCTATACAACAGATACATATCAAAGGTATCAGACCAAATGTGACAACAATATTCAATATAAAAACGAATGCTACGGACACCTCGAGGATTTTCCAAGCTTGTCTCGCTAGAACAATTATGACCGAGTAGTGAATTCGATCCTCACTGTGTGTCCCCAAATTTTGGCCCTGTGCTGCATCTAAGCTACACTTAGAAAATCGCTATAAACCAATGCCAGACTCATAGATGTGTAAGAGAAATTATGACGTGAACTGTATAGAAAGACACAGTAAAACCAAATTTGCTAGCAGTAAATTTATCAATTAATCCAATATATATATATATATATATATATATATATATATATATATATATATATATATATATATATTTTAAGCGTTTCACCACAAGCAAGGCAGGAAAACACTAGGACGCAAGGAGTTACAGAACATTTGGAGCAAGATCAAATAGGAGTGATAGAGGAAAGGATGAGGGGAAGGATAGTAGATAGATCAAGCCAACTGGAGATGCCGATTGACATTTCACTTGAATAGCTGGAGATTATAGCTCTCAGGGAAACTGGAATAGGGAAGATAGTTCGACAGGCGAGAGGTGCGAGACATGAAGCTATTGGAGTAGAAGAGACGGCTACATTTAGCATTTTCGACAGGGAAAGGGTGAGAGCGAGATGCCAGCCTCGTAGGGTGCTTGAACTCATGAAGTCTGGGAACCAGCGAATGCAGCTCCTCGAGCAATTGCCATAAAAGTATTTGTAAAAAAGACAGAGAGAGGTGACGGCGCGTCTGTGAGAAAGTGACTGTAGACGAGATGTCAGAACAAGGCCAATTATATTGCATATCCGCCCATGGAGCCTATCAAGAACCCCGAGGCAAACAGAAGGGGCTCCAGACCATATATAGCAACAATACTCCATGCAAGGGCGTATTGTTGATTTGTAGATCTGGAGGATCGGTTCCGGGGAGAAAAAATTCCTGGCGTGGCACAGGGAGCCAACTTTCCTTGCGGTGGACAAAGCAATTGACTCAATGTATTTGTTCCATCTCACGTAAGCAGTCAACGTGAGACCGAGCAGCCTCAGAGAGGTGCTCTCGAGAAGTTGAGCGTCCGATATTCTAATGGCGGGCATGAAAGGATATAATCTTTCCAATTCATATCAGTGGAAAGCTTTACTCCATGTAGCCATAAACAGTTACACTCCTGAAGGTTAGCATCAGCCATGCCGATGGAAGTCACAAATGTTTCCATTAGACGAATACAAAAGAGGATTCGGGGATTGATGACATTAAAATCAAGAATCCATTTCTTGCCCGGTTAATTTTTTAGGTCATATTTTTAGAATAGCTGCCTATTTGACTTTAACTAATCGATCTGACATAGCATTAAGACACGATTGAATATGTGTGTAGTCAGTTTAGATACCGTGTATCTGACTACATCTGGAAGGACATTGACTTTAATTAGAATCAAAGTAAATCCAGGGACTAGGCCTTGGGAAAAAACTCACTGTTGTGACCAAGTAAATGCTTGAAGAAATAACAAAACAAGTGTTACATATATATCATATAATAAAGAGTAAACAGAACAGAAGAGTATTACACTACTAGTGAATGTCTGTCGGTTGACCAGCGTTCAATCTATTCGACTGTTCCCCCAAGGCCTTCTCTCCTACTAATCTTATAGTAGGCGGAAGAGTCCAAACGAGACTCTTTAGAGGGAGGACACCACAACACTCACATTAACGTAAAAAGATATAGAGGAGTGTTTTCTCATCAATTTAAGAAATGAATTTTGAATCAAAATCAGAAATGTGTCCCGAAATAACATAACATTTCGACTTGTAACCATCATGCCAAACTCTGCCAAACGCATTCCAGATACTAAAGCTTGATAGACATTTTCCGCAATAGCAACTATAATGAATCACGAAATGAATCCAAATTGGTAAAAGAAGGATATCATAAATAAAGTGTTCATATCTAACGGTCGAGACAAAAGCGTGAACCACATTAACAAGAGGACAGAGCTGCGATGATCGACGAGAAGCGAACTATATTATTTGCCTGAGAGTCGGAATAATTGCACGTCTGAATACGGGCAACATCAGTAACATTCGAATGATTACACCAATTTACATTTAAATCTGATGAATTAGAAGCCATTTTTACAATGCAAGATAAATAACATAACAACGAACAGAATTAATAATGTCTGCAATAAAAAGAAAAATGGACAAAAATGAAATAGTATCAAGAAAACAATATATGCAAAGCAAATTAACAGGTAAGAAGACAAAAGAGTTAACAAACTATAAGTTGGTGTTTGCTCAAAAAAGCAATGTCAGACAAGCAAATGCAATGAGTCTGTCTAGTAGATAAGGCAGATCTGGATTGACTCATGTCAGAACGCAAGTCATCACATTTTATTGGGTAAGAAAAATATCCCAGCTTGGATTCTGTGGACATTTGCCTATGATAAGGGAAGAGGGAAGTTTTGCAATCATTACCCTTTTTCTGGGAAATGAACAGAATCACCACAGAGAAAGATGTTCACAAGTGAATGGGGAGAGAGAGAGAGAGAGAGAGAGATATACATTTCTCTAGTGTCTGATATTTTGTCTAATATTTTACAGTCCTGAGAAGAAGGGGAATGATAATGGAAAAGTGATAATTAACATAGTACAATAAATTAAGTCGAAAGAACCCGAAATAATCAACCGGGGTCTCAAGAGATCATACACATGGCATTGGAAGATTTTCTCGGGTTGTATATACCAAGTGCCTGCCTAAGTATCCTAGAATGTTTTCGACAGAGAGGTAGTGAGCCTGGGACAGATAATTCATTGGCAGTAATAGAAGAGTTTAAATTCGTATAAAAATCGCTACGATTTCAGATGAACGTTTCAAGAGAAAAGATTCTACACTAAATTGGGACAAATACTTCGAATATTGGATAAAGCAAGTAAGTTTTTATTGACTTGTTTACTTTTTTTACTAGTAACTTCAATGAGAAATTATTCTAATTTTGAAGTAAAAAATAATGATCACTGCCCAAGGTTTATGGCAATACAAACCGGCCTGGAGATTGCTAAAACCAAAGCATAATATGACCTCAGGGTTGGTCACCGGAAATATATGCAGATACTCTTGTCCCTGTGAGACATACTACTGCAAATACATCGATATTTTGAGGTTGTTAACCTTAGTTTACTCTCTAATTGCTACCAACTATTATGGACACCTTATTACCAATCGAGATGCAGCAACTAGAAAACTGTCAACCCGGTACTCTTAAAACAACAAGTGGCAGCCACTAGTCATTCAGGTACTCAAAACGCTAAATGTCCACATATATATATATATATATATATATATATATATATTACACACACACACACGTGTGTGTGTCAATCGCAGGCAGTACTCTTTCGCAGCTCTTCAGTGCGGCTAGACAACCGAATACCACAAGCCCGGATCGAAACACAAAAAATTTAGTGTCAGTCAGATCTTCTTCCACTGAACCATATTCACTCGACATAACGAGTCGCCCAGATCTAGTATATTGTTTTTTCTAACGTAAACAAACGCCAAGCAGACAGTGCTCCATTCATTTTACTAAAGAGCTTCGCATTTACGCAGGTAACCGTTTTTTTTTTTTAGAATTAGCTTGACAATGAAAATATATTTTCAAGTGCTATATATATATATATATATATATATATATATATATATATATAATGTGTGTGTGTGTGTGTGTGTGTGTGTGTGTGTGTGTGTGTGTTTGCGCTCATGTGTGAATACTAAAATGTATGTCTAGAAATATCTCCAAAGCAGTGGAGAGTCGTTCAAAAGATAAGATAAAAATTAAAATATAACCCCTTCCTCATAATAAAAGATCAAACTCTAGCTTTCCTAGATGGTAAATATCCATCTATTTAAAAACATTCGGTATACCAGTAATGTCCTTGCTACAGACTGTATTATATATCTCCAATGATCATTTATTTATTCTCGAAACCAGAAACCTGAATCCTAGATACAGTCGATATTAGATTTATCAAGAGGACGATCACCTGAGATTTTTCAAGCGTATTTTACAAGTTGTGGGAGAGATAGTTGCTATGCAAATTATCCTGCTATATTTCATCTGGCATATTCTTCAGAATTATCTATTTTTTTTTCCTTATTCTGGAAGATCCACGATGCTCGGTTTTAATAGTCAGTTTTCTGAAGTTTTCAAATCCATACAGACTCTTCAATAGTCTTTCAAAAAGTTCAGCCCTTTCAGCTTATATTAACTATCTG